ATTGGTACCAATGCCCTAATGGGCATCCTTATACAATAGGAGATTGTGGTGGAGCAGACCAAGTAAGCATGTAAGTTAATTTCTTTTTATTATTTTCAATTTTAGGACTTTCAGGAACTTGTTAAATGATGTGTGGATTGTGTGGATTTAATTTATATTTAGATGCCCTGAATGCGGAGTTCTCATAGGTGGCAGTAATCACCAGACTCTTGCTGGAAATGAACGCAACGTGGAATTTGAGAGAATGGGATAGGAAATATTTATCTATTTTATTTTTATCCAATTATGTACAAATTTTTATAAATAGCATTTATTCATATTTTTATCTAATTATTTATAAATAGCATTCATTCATTCATATATTTATCTAATTATGACAAATTTTTATAAATAGCATTTATTCATATATTTATATATTTTATTTTTATCTAATTCCATTCATATACATCATTAGCTTTGAAAATTTCATTGTCAATATTTTGATTATCAATAAAAATTAATTTTGTTACATATTCTTGAAATCAATCATGTGTCATCAGTTACTATTGATGATAAGTAATTTTATTTTGATGACAGATCGCGGGTTTTGTCCCCTTCCCGAGTCTTGATTTTAAGTATGACTCACGTTCAATTTATAATAAAAATATTCCTGAGGCAAAACCCAAATTAGCTATTAAAAAATTCTTTTAATTTTTTTTTATTAATGTTATTTATATACTTAAGTCATAGATAACTTTCTTTCTCAACTTCCTTCGAAAGAAAAAAGAATTCTCAATTCTTAAAAAAATCATTGAATTATTTACAAAATTTATTAATTGTTAATTCATCCCATTCCAATTTCCATCTAATCTTAATTTTATTAATCCCATATTACATATGTAATCTAAAACTAAACCTAAAATTTATTGTGCTTAATAATAATTTTGTAAAGTATGTGCGAAGAAAATAGTTGTAAAGGTATAAATGTCGCGTGATTAATGAACTTCTATAAAAGTACACTTAAAAAAATATTTCTGATATCCTCAATACATTTTATAAAAATAAAATGGGATATATATACCTTTAATAATTTAAACCTTTGGTAAGTATTGAAATAGTAAAGCAAAGGCACCCTGACTTTAACTAAATTATTATCTTTCCAAAAAAAATAGTATGATTTCATTTCAATCGTATAATATAACAAATTGTGCCGTGATGTCATGTTTCAACGAGTATTTTCTTGGGTTCATCAGCAAATGATACAAATAGGGTAAACAACTCCCATTTGGTTTTTCTTCCTATTCTTCCGCAATTTCTCTTACCATTTTGGCATTGATGTTCTCGATACTAGAATGGACGTTTCAATAGTTGTCTCAAGAATTATTGTTGCCCGTTTATTAAGGATCTAGAAGTATTTTCCTGCAGTTACAAAAAAATATTGTCAATATGTCCTCAGCTTCATTGGATAAAAAAAAAATTAATTGAAAAAACCTCAATATGGCGTAGTTCATTGTGCATATCTACATTTACCCAAAGTATATTAACATTTGTATAATCCTCTCAATGACCCCGTAATTCACATAGAATTGATACATTGATTTATAATGATGTGAGCATGGCTGGAAGCATTCACAACAGACACGCAGACCATAAGGCAAGCAACACGTAGATGTTCACCGTAGTTGTAAAATTCTTGCTTCTGCAACCAGCCATGCTAAAAAAGATAATAAAGAAAACTTTCCTTAAAAGTGTCATATATATAACCGGCTAGCAAATTTCCTCGCCTTATCCGGACCACCACTTATCAGATTACTAAAGTCCTTTTTAAGTTTATGTGATTCATTCTAGAAGGAAAAGCTAAAATCGTCCTGTTGTAAGCGGTACTCATAAAAATTCCGAAAGCAATAATCTTCGGGTCGCGTCTCATTAAAATAAGGTCATGAATATTGGTTTTTATATCAATCAGGTCACACAGATTAAACATTGAAAGAAATGTATATGATGTTACTTTAACACCAATAATACCTTTTCCTTACTCTTGAATTTGATCAATTTTATGCATTGATCTATTATTGCATCAAAATGTCCTAAATCATTGTAATATCATTTATCGTTTCTCGCATCATTTTTTTTTCACATTTATCCATCCTTTCGATATGACTAGAATTCGTTTGCATACTGGTATAAACAAGACAGGATCTGTGAAAATATTTTAAGGAAGGAAAATATATAGTGGTTTTCACTGGAACAAGTAAAATGAGATAAAATTTCAATCAATCAATGAGAGAAATCTTAGGAGAAGATAAAATTTCACAAGATTTTATTATTTCTAATTTATAATCTTTATTGTTACATTTTCAAATTCAATTCTTGAATCATGAAATCAGTAAAATGAGTTTATCACTTTTGTCCATTTTAATAACTTATTCTTCATTATACGAAGTAAAACACCTATGACGTGCGTGAAGTCAGTTATAATTATTTTACTATGCTGAAAAAAAACACCACACCACTAACAAGGCGTTTACCTACCCGAATGAGAGTTTCAACTCAAAAATAATTTGGGCAACATGTATAATGCCTCTAGGCTTTTTAGGTGTAATACCTGTTTTCTCTTGTTCATTTTACCTATCTTAATCTAATATATACAAAAAAGATGATGTCGGAATCATTAAAAAATTTACGGAAGGAACCCAGAAAAGAATCATCCAGTGGTATGAGACTACAAAGAAAATATTAATGACCCTGAAGAAGACTATTATCTTGATCCAATGCCACTGTATTCGAATGGAATGACGCAACGAAATATTCAGAAAACTAACGTAATGTCTGAAAAAATATCTAAAACGTAGATATATTTTTTTTGAAATCAAAAAAGGTTTTGGGCTTAAAACCCATTGATAATGACACAAATCTTGGATCAGTTATTCAAGGTTTTTTAACCACATTCATAATAAAATAATTTTGATTTTTGGGGGATGTAGTAACTTGCATCTCAAACTTGAGTTTTCCTATTTCCGTAATTAAAAATATTAGAACAAGAAGATAATGCTCATTTAATATTTCCTTTTTCTCCACTTTTCTAAAAAATTTAGATAGCGAAAATGAATAAAAAAATTAAAAATCACTTTATCAAAAAAATTGCCTTTTTTTTTTACTTGATTTAAACAATTAATAATTTTAAAATTCCCGTCAAATCATTCAAGATCTTTACGTAAATTTTGTATTTCTTAGTTGTAATAAATAGTACTGAAATTTAAAATGCCTCGAGGCACGGTCAAACTAATCACATCATGCTATTATTACTGATTCAAAAGAAATTGACGAATTTTGGTTAACGCAGTCAACGCCACCTTCCTTCCATTTGGGTCTGCAAGATCAAAACCACTTTTATTATTATTTTCTCCTGGCCATCTTTTAATTTCAATTGATTTTTTTGTAAACCTTTAGCAAGCTCTTCCAATATTCTGCGAAATCTCAGCTTTGTAAAATGTAGTATAGGTAGAGATAAACGAGTGGCAAATAAAACCTGATCAGAAACAGTCTTACGTGAATTTTCATTTCTGCAAGCAAGTATTTCGGCAGCAATTTGCATTTCTCCATATCCATTAAAAGGGATAAAATTTCGAAAGGTTTTATCCTGTCAAAAAAAATCTATTTTAGTAATCAAAAATATTGAACTGCCAAACAATAAAAAAAAAAAAAAATACATACTTCTGCAATAATCACAGACATTTTTTCTTTTTTGTTAATCACAAATTCGGGAGTTGCTGAAACATAAAGCTCATATAAGATACATTATTCGCTTGGTGGATGAATTCTGGATTTTGAAGAAGGAAAATTTAGAAAGTCATTTGAATAAGACACAGATCTTTTAAATTACTCATGATATATTCAAGGGCCAGTCATTCAGCCCAGCAAATCATAAACCAACTCGTAAATCCTAGATTCAAGTATTCCTGGTGAGCTTCTTGTAATGTTATTCAGTTTGTGAAAGAAGGTTCAGACTTTATTATCCAAAAAATCACTAATTTTTTCAACGTAAAAATCTTCAGCTAAGAGCATTTGTCTGTTTATATCAGGGGAAACGTACTGTTTGAAATCCTTGTCTATCTCATTAGGAATGACTTGGTGTTCGGATGCTGATCTATCTCTCGTTCAGTGCGTTTAAATCATCTTCATTAAAATGAGATGCTTGGGTAGTATAATTAAGCAGGTCTCTGACTATTTTCCGCGACCCTTAGAGTTGAAAATAAAATTTACGAATTTAAGCATTGAAAAAAAAATGATTATTGGGTAAATCATAAGCAAAATATGATTTTTATATAGTAGTTAGTCAGATTTAAACCTTCCCATATTTTTTCTATCTTTTAATTTTATTAATCATATTGTTACAATAATCACCCAGGGTGTTAGTAGTCCTAATCCTAAGGAAATAAATAAAGTTTTGCCCATAGCAAAAAGTCCTTTTACATTTTGCCTTTTAGTTGTGTCCTAAACTGTCCTAAACGTCCTAAACCCTTTAGCCTGAATCACTTGTTAGATTTATTATCATTATTATCATTATTAGATTATTTTGTAATTTAATAAATTTATTTTATGAGTTAATCATGTGCAAAACTATAAGAGACAAATTAAAAAATTGAACAGAAATTAAAGTATATACAGATGGTTCAATGAAGAACATACTTGAAGAAGACAACATGGGCCTGGGATGGGTGATTTTAGATCAAGAATTAAATAATAATATGACATTCTGAAGTAAATTAGAACAATTCCCATCATCAACTAGAGCAGAATTAATGGCAATACTAACAGCACTAACAGTAATGCCAAAAAGTTC